GGCGACGGTTGCTAGTACCCGCGGTGGCAATAGGCCGGAGCGGCGCTTGGCTGCGAGGGCCGTTCGAGGCTGCTTGCAGCTTTAATTATTATTATTTTTCTTCCCACCTCTTTGGGGGGCTTTTTGGGGGCCTTATCATATTGGAAAACTCACCAAACTTGGCGGAGGCCTTAAGCCTGTTTAAAAATTTTGATTTTTAAGGTCATCACAAAAATCCCACAAGAAATGGCTCAATAGCGCCACCTAGAAATTTTCAAAGGACCCTTTGCTATTCACTTACTTTATCCTAGAGACATGAAATTTGGTACACTTGTAGAGCTCCCCAGGACGCTCAAAATTTACAATTAATGTCATAGTGCAAGTATCACAGGAAGTCAGCCATTTTGGATTGAAGGTCCAATTTTGAGGCCATTTTTGCCGTTTACAGCCTCCGTATTTGATCGAACTCCTCCTAGGGATTTCGATTGATCGGCTTCAAACTCGGTCAGTCTGTTCATAAGGCATGTCCCATCTAAAGTTATCAAAACGGTGAGTTTTTGAGTATGCTGAAGGGGGGTTAGCAGGGGTCAAAGTTCACCTACTCGCCGTAAAAAAAATAACTGCTATATCTCCTACACAGAAACTCACAGAGGCACCAAAGTTTCTATGATTGATCATCATCAGGTGTCCTACAATACCCTGTGGTCGAATGATGACATCACTTTGGCCACGCCCCTGAGAACAGGAAGTGTAATGTTTTACTGTGAACTTTCACTATCTGACCCCTTTGACCTCATCAACATGAAACTGTGCCCAGACACAGAAGACATGTTGGTGTATTGAGGATTCCAACCCCGACCAGCTTCGATGGAGCAGGTGGTGGCGGCGTGGCGAAGTGACCTGTAACGCCATCGCCATACGTTTGGCTCTCAATTCCACTGTTTCGGTCCCAGCTGCTCCAAACTCACAAGGATGGATCTTCATCTACTCCCCGACAGGAATCCATCACAATATTTGGTGGGCGTGGCCAAATTTCTCTATAGCGCCCCCTAGAAAACTTTAAATGATCAGCCCCAAGCCATGCTTTAACCTACAATTACAAAACGTTGTACACATGTGTACCTTGTCAGGACTTACAAAAAAGTCTCTTGGAGCCATGGTCTAAACCCCACAGGAAGTCGGCCATTTTAGATTGAAGTTCAGATTTTGAGACCATTTTTGCCATTTACAGCCTCCGCATTTGATCGAACTCCTCCTAGGGATTTCGATTGATCGGCTTCAAACTCGGTCAGTCTGCTCATAAGGCATGTCCCATCTAAAGTTATCAAAACGGTGAGTTTTTGAGTATGCTGAAGGGGGGTTAGCCGGGGTCAAAGTTCACCTACTCGCTGTAAAAAAGAAACTGTTATATCTCCTACACAGAAACTCACAGAGGCACCAAAGTTTCTGGGATTGATCATCATCGGGTGTCCTACAATACCCTATGGTGGAATGATGACATCAGTTAGGCCACGCCCCCTGAGAAAAGGAAGTGTCATGTTTTACTCCGAACGGTCGCTATCTGACCCCTTTGACCTTATCAACATGAAACTGTGCCCAGACACAGAAGACATGTTGGTGTGTTGAGGATTCCAACCCCGACCAGCTTCGATGGAGCAGCTGGGCGTGGCGGCGTGGCGAAGTGACCTGTAACGCCATCGCCATACGTTTGGCTCTCAATTCCACATTTTTGGGCGCAGCTGCTCCAAACTCACAAGAATGGATCTTCATCCACTCCCCGACAGGAATCCATCACAATATTTGTAGGGTGGCCTAATTTATCTATAGCGCCCCCTAGAAAATTTTAAATGATAAGCCCCAAGCCATGCTTTAACCTACAATTACGAAACTTTGTACACGTGTGTACCTTGTCAGGACTTACAAAAAAGTCTCTTGGAGCCATGGTCTAAACCCCAGAGGAAGTCGGCCATTTTAGATTGAAGTTCAGATTTTCATCCCATTTTTGGCGTTTATAAACCATTTCAATAATTCGCCACTTGGGGTCAGTATTGCTCCACAAATGAAACAGCAGATAAACAAGATGAAGAACAATATCACTATTTCGCCAGTAGGTGTCAGTGTTCCTCCACCAATGACAAACAGATCCACGGGCGGATGGGCGTGAAAACTTTGTGAGAGCGTTGCCATGACATTTCTAAAAGGATAGAAATGTCTCAGATAATTTTTTGTTGAATTAAATCATGCAGTAAATGTAGCGTTTTCTTACTTCTTACAAACCATTTCAGTAATTCGCCACTCTGAGTAAGTATTACTCCAACAATGAAATAGAGTGGATCATCCGACTGACGCCAAATTGGATACGTATGACCTTTGTTGACCTCTAAAGAGAAGAACAGCATTGAAATATATTTTGACTCCACTGCGCGTCCTACATTAATCCGCCAGCTATATTTCCTCGCTAAACCAATGAATCTGCACCACATTTTTTGAATCGTCAAGGAGCGCCTCCGAACGCATCAGTGCGTACCGCCTGGTGGACGGGCGCGGAAACTGCGCAACAACTTCTGTGTTAGCACGTGGTCAGCGTTGATGGAAACTGAGCAACAGCTTCCGCGGTGCGGGCGGAGGAGCTGAAAACTGCGTGAGAGCTTCTGTGGTGGCTGGCGTGAGGCGACGGTTGCTAGTATCCCGCGGTGGCAATAGGCCGGAGCGGCGCTTGGCTGCGAGGGCCGTTCGAGGCTGCTTGCAGCTTTAATTTTTATTATTATGCTCATTGTGGGTGACATTGGGCCGACTGCATATGCAATTTTTTATTATTGTTTTCCAATTTTATTTTGATGGCGTTTCTTTCGGTAGTGAAAGTGCTTTAGAAGTTGATAATACCTAATGTTTAACATGCTAGTCTGGATGTGTCCAGAATGTGTTGCTTTTTAACATGCGATCTAATTTCTCTAGGTGACGACCGCAAATCAGCTACTGTCTGCTTCACAATGGTCACGTTTTCCAACATCCACTCTTCTACCTTCTTACTCATACCACAGGATCTTGAGCGGAGAAAGGATGCCCAAAGCATGTTTTATAAGTAAAATAAATAATTCACATGAAATGTATTTCCTGCCTTCAACTGCCTTTCACTTTAAACTAATGCCAAACATAAGAAAGATTAAGAGTTTGAACTTGATCTAAACACATAAATTACCTTAATCTTTTGGTGGGTTTTTCAGTTTTTTTGGGAAGAAAAATAAACTCACTGTACCTGTATGTGGAGCCAACTTTTACAAGATCTATGGGTTCTCTTTTCCATCTTAAAATGTATGTATTTTTTTATTAATACAGCTTTTTAAAATGTTTCCTTGCAATGTAACTGATAACTATGACAACCATACATCATTCAAGTCACAAGAACTTGTAAATAAACTTAGTTGCCTAATAGTTTTTTTTATCCTGTTAGTAGATAAAAATATAGCACTGAGTTTATGTAAAAATAGCAATGTATAGCAATAGCATCATCTTATGTTTGAAAATATCTCAATGCAAGCTCAAATATTTTATCTTTTTTTTTTAAAATGTTTATTCCTTTTATACATTTTCCCACAAAAGTTATATTTTTTGAAAAGGCAGGGAACAGTCAATGTCATGCAACCTGTAATTACCATGTTAATATTTTTCCCTTGTTAACGTTCAAATATTCAGAATTTGCTTGTTATTCCTTTACTTTTTGACTGAGTCTTATTTATTTGTTTTCTTGTCTAGTTTGTTTTGTAATTAAAATTCATCAACACTCAATGTCTGTTGTGGTGACTACTGGTTGATATTTTGTATAGACAAGACAAAATATAGACCATTATAGGTCACAATATGAAAACAAAAAAAAATTCTCACCCAAACAAAAGAAAACTGAAGCTGAGAAACTAAATCATTGTGAAAGTGTAGATTAAATAACATCTCAGTTTTATTTGAGATAGCATAATTATCTAAATGTGACTAAATAAATATGTTCACATGACTTCCCACTGTCTGTATCTCTGCACTGCAAAGCTATATGTTTTCAGTCAGTGATGTAGTACAATGTGAGTATGTTTCGCTCACATTGCTGAGTAATATTTATGAGTCCAGCAAGTGAGAACAGTAGCTTGAACAGAAGTTTTTTTCCAATATGATGTACATAATATATAAATTATTTATTATTTAAAGGTTTGTTTAAATTTGAAATATTTAACAATGGCATATTAGTTTACAGAACCTACAACACATTAAGTATTGTTTGACATTTTAATATATTTAAATATATTTTTTTTAATATTTAGGTATTAGGTGTTTTTAATGGTAAAATTAAAATACCATTATTTTTTTATTTTTTATTGAATTATCAAAATTGAATAATTAAAGCTAAAACATTTGTTTATATAGTACCTCACATTCAAACAACAATCAGTGTTTCCTGTGTGACTCAAAGCCACTGCCATCTACTGGGGAATCAGTACAATCTATAACCCTATAAAACGTGAAAAGTTTTGTAACATACAGAGAAGATGGTGAGTTAAAAACATGTTCATAGGTTAGAAAAAAAAGAAAGAAAGATTTTTTATTGTAACAACACATTTATTTTTCAATAAAAATACATTTTAATATAGTTTACTTCAACATTCACGCAAACATTGAATTGAAAACTAGCTTTCTATCAAGTACCGAGCACACGACATTATTAAAGCACCACAAAGATAACAATTCAGTTAATTTATTAATCTTTAATAAAAGAAATAGCTGTTGTGCCAAAAAATTAATCCTTTCTGTTAGAGTGATCCAGTCACAACTCACAGTTAAAGACACTTTTCCTTTTTTTATGAAGCCGTTATTCACATAATTGAAACAAGCTTTGAATCTACATTTTACTGCGTACATTTACAGCTCCACCAGATTTTCTGAAAGCTGGTTGCTATTCAGTTTGGGAGGGGGACGTTTTTCGACACAACACCGGACGTCGGTAAAGTTGAGGAGACGAGGCCGACGTCATGACGCAATGAAGGGGCGACGAAAGCTCGGATTGTTTCTTCAAATCGTGGCCAGACGGAACCCAGGTTGATATTTTTACAGGCAAGGTGGTGTTTAACGACGTCTATTTTGAATTTATGCGTTGGTTTTGACTTGTGCAAACGTTTACTTCCCCGAATCTGGAGGCGTAGCTCCTTCACGTTCATACGCATTCGCACTTCCCTCTGAAAATGGAGGAAATTGCCGCTTTGTTTTTTGTCTGCAGCTAGCCGAGTCAGCTAGCTTCAGGAAAATGGGAAAACTTATGCAAAACTTTGTGAAACGTTACACTTCAGTGCAATAATTAACTTGCTGATAAATGATAGAGTTTGATAAACGTGAATTTGCTCCATTCGTCTGGTGCAACATGTTGGATAATCTTAATTAAGGCGGTAGTGTTAATTATCCTCTTTATACGAATTGTTAGTTTCTGTCGTCATTCATAGAGATGCTAAAGACCAGAGGGCTCAACAGTCAAACATACTAAATGCTCAAATTTCGCTGCTATTTTGCTCATGTTTTTTGGAACTGCAGCTGTCATTTCAAACGACATCCTTATGTTACATTTTTGTTTTTGTGAAGTTTAGCATTGAAATTAAAGAGAGTAAATCAGAATGTTATTGAATGTGCATTTATTTAAATGCCATAAACTGGTGTATTTTTTTTAATTCGGTCATTGTGACCGAATAAAAAAAATACATCTAATAACAAATTATTTTACACTTGACCAATGAAGATAAAATTCTAAATTCTTTATTTAAAAAAAATGTTGCCTGTATTAGTTCAATCCAACTATCAAAAGTGTCGTGGATAGTGATGCTGTGGGCGGAAGGAGCTGCAGTGCAGATTTTCTTGCACTCTTGCAACAAATCTGAAGAACCCTCTGACTGAAGACTGTTGCTGTTGATAGTAAATGACTGTCATAATATGTTAACGGCTCAAATTTCAGGCGGCAGAGATGATATTTCACAACATGTCCTGAATAACAACGTCATCTGTTGGCAAGCACAGCTTATTCACCGATTTTGCTTTTGATGCTCATTTTGCTATGCTTCCTCAAATCTCTGCCCATTTCTATTTTTAGGAAGAGAGGCAGAGAGACATCAGATTTGTGGATATGATCATTTCCTACTGTTATTGATGGAAGAGATGGTTTGAACATTGCTTCTTCTCACCACTCTTTGGTTTTGCTCTTCAGCCTTGAAGCCAGTTCTTCAACTCCTCTGGGATTTAGGGGTCATAGTTCAGGTGTTATTTGAGCTTCTGAGATGCTAACTCCATGTTGCCATGATTAACAGCTGCCCGAAAGTAAAATAAATAATAAGAAAAAAGTAAGCTCAAAAACCTTTCTTTCTTCCCATCTAAAACCAGAATGAATAATCATCCCAAAAAGCAACTCCTCAACCCAAAAAGTTATTTTCGGAAACCTACAAAAGAACAAATCAGAACTAACATAACCGAGCTGCTCCAACATGCTGTCACATGAGTGGCACAATTCTAGAGAAAAGAAAATCTAAATTGTTTTAAATGCAGAAAGTCAGTGTTGTGTTTTTTCTTGGGAATACACTATATAGAAATAAAATAAAGGTTTTTCTAGCATTCACAATAACAAATGTGTCGCTATGAGGCTTTGCAACAAAAGTAACGGTTAGTACTTCATAGAGGAGGGAAATTATCTAAGTTAGAGATCAATAGCATGTTTACCCAGTAGGTAAAATGTACTATACAAGTGGAAGTAATATCTTGCAGGCTTTGACATCATTAAATATCGGGAATAAATCAGGGTTTATAAAATTCTGTGATCTGATCTGAGCACAACAGTGTTTATTTTTGTGCATCTGTCATGAAAACTGAGTTTAACTGCTAACTGGATAATTTTTTTTTGTCTAATTATTTTCTTATTTTATTTCACTCCTTTTAGGATACAGTGCTGCTGTGACCCCGAGAGCCGCCTCATCTTGATTCCTGTTGTCAAAATAATTTTGTCCACTAATGTATGGAGGAAAGTGTGAGATGTAAAAGTTGGAGCAATCCACTTTATTTGTAAGCCAGCAAGCTGAAAGGGAGGAAACAGTAGCAGTGCATAGAGAGAGAATTGGGGATGGGGTTAAAGAGCGAAAGGCGGACGTCATGGTTCACAGCAGCTCTAATTCCCCAATGACAACACCATCTGCCTCGCTTCACCTGACTGTTTGTTCTAAAGTACCTCTTTCGGTGTCCTGTCCCAGAGGTGCTACAGAACAGGACCTAAGCCAAACCTCTGCAGACCCAACATCCCTTTCAGAACTACCACAGCCCCTTACTCAGACTCCTGCTGAGGCTCATCACCATGTTGCTACTGCAACAAGAGCATTGAGCTCCAAGTCAAGCTCGCCATCCAGCAGCCCCAGCACACCCACACCAACCTCTGCTCAGGACCAACTCAATGGCCGTAGATCAAGCAGGAAAAGGACTCCGAAGGGCTGTGACTGTTGTGGCCCCAACAGTAGGGGACACAATGTTGAAACTTCGGGCAGAGGCAGGGGAAATGGAAGGGGGAGAGGTAGGGGTAAAGGAAGGGGAGCAAACAGAGACTTTGGTGACACCCCTGCTAGAAAGCCACTGCAGTTGACAGGAGTCAGGAACATTAATTTCAGTGGAGAAAATATACAGGAAACAGAAGATGAAGACGATAGACTGGGGAATGTGCAGAGCTCTGATACACAGTCACAAAGCCCTGCTATCAAGTCTGTTCCACCAGTTACTCAAGATGGACCAAAAAATAATTGTGCTGCTCAAACAAATGGAGCTGCACTGAAAATGGAAGACATCTTGATGGCACCGTCAGGGGTTGCTGTTGCAATGCACGAGGAAAATGTTTATAAAAAGGATGTGGACCCAACGGTTTCAGGACCAGTACATGAGGAACTGGTAGTGGCCAGAGGTCGAGGTAGGGGAGCAGGAACGGGAAGAGGTCGAGGTAGGGGAGCAGTAATGGTGAGGGGTCGGGGCAGAGGAAGAGGTGTTGACAAAGGTCAAGATAGTGAACAAGAGAAAATGGAAGGCATTCAAATAAGCAGCAAAGAAAAAGATTATGTCACAAGTTCGAGAACAGGTGCCTTAGCTGAGTCAGTGCTAGTGGAAGAACCAGAGAAGATGCATGATGTACAGACAGACCACGAACACCAAAAAAGCTCTACGTCAGGTAAATTTCCTATTGAAAATGGAGAACTGGTACACTTGTCTGACTCGGAGGACGAGATGGAGGAGGACACCATTATTATGACAGAACTTGGCGATGGGGTGCTGACCATCCCACGGAAATCTGCTACAAGGTCAGAGATTTCTGGAGACCTGGACTCTGAGATGCAGATGGACCAAACGCAGGATGGGATAGAGCAGGTTTCTTTACCAGTACCTTTGCCTAATGGAAATGTTGCCTCACAAACAAACCATGATCTAACGTCCTCACCATTGGAGGTGAAAATGTCTAGCTCCACTGGGCTTGCCTCTTTCAACCCGATAAATGTTAGCTTGGAGCACTCCTGGGCATTAAGAGACCACAGACTGTACTGTCATCCTTGTTCATGGGTGAAAGACGAAATGGATGACATGTTGCCAAATGACCAGGCAGAAGATAAAATGATGGACACAGATATTCAGAATCAAGAGAGGCGGGAGCAGCTTAAAGACGCCATTCACGGTAAAACACACTTTGTAGTACGCAGTTGGTTATATGCTCAATCTTCTTTAAATAAGTGGTCAAAATTGGAAGGAACTTCCACCTTGAACTGCAGGTTCAACGATCAGTACCTTCAGTTTTGTAAAATCAACAGCTCCTTACATTTTTTGCAGTAGTCCGTACTTGAATTTCTATTGAATTTCTGCAAAAATGGTCAAAATACTGTGTTTAAAGCATTAATTCTTACCTGCAATATTGCAGGTGGCAGTATTTTTTCTACTACATCACTGACTCAGCCTTACTTTTTGTTCATGTAATCTGCTTTTTTTATCGTATTTTTTCTTCTACAAATAGATTTTGAAAGGAAGAACATGACGCTAAATTCCTTGCAAATATTTCTGAAGTAGCGGCACAAAGTCCTGGATCCCGGAGGGACTGTCTGATATCGGAAATAGTTTTGATTCCAACAAAAACTGAAGATTGTCCAGATTGTTGTGCCAAAGCATATTTCGACCAGCCGTTTAATCTTTACTGACAACAGAAAAGTCCATGAAATTATGTGCGGTTGGTTGATGCAATTTTAAAGTGAAAATAGTTCAAAGTCTATTTTCAAGATTTGACCAAAGTTTGTGGAAAAGACTAATATTACACTATGGTCTTCAGCCAATGGATTGGCCCCTGTCTAGCAATAACACATTCTAAGGGAAATTCAAACAAGAGAATGTTTATGAACTAAATATAGTGATGTTAGTGGAGTCAGTCTCTCTCTCTTAGAGGACATCACGGCCTCAATATACACACTAATTTTCCATTTTAAACCAAAGTAAAACTTGTTTTGGAGAAAATTCTATTGTTGTGACTTTACCCAACTACTTTATGCATTATTTGAAGGTGACAATAATTCTAAAATTCAGGTTCACTCTTTTAAAACACGCTATATTTTTCATCTCGCAGCATCTAGAGAAATAAAAAAAAAGAAAACATGATGGTAAGGCTACTCCAGCTCTCATAACACCTGCATTTTGCAATCTTATCTATATCACCTGTTGCGCTACATCTATTTTGTTTATTTCTACCTTAGTCTCATGGAATATTTGTGCAACCTGGAAATGCAAAATGTCTGTCCAAGCAATTGTTTTGCTGCAGATTAGCAACTCCGGAAGTAAAAATCACAACACTTTCATATCAATAAATCCTCACAGACTGGTCCACCATAAGCAGGCGCTCATATCCTTTTACAGAAGTGCTGTAACAGATCTTTCTAGTAACGCATTTTTACAATATGTCTGTAAAGACGAGCCGCTTTTGAAGCTTAAGAGTTCCTGTCCTTTAGTATCATGTTCTGCTTCTTTATCCTGAGTGCTAAGTTGGGCCATTTTAATACATACATTGTGTCCACAGTCCTGAGCTGAAATCCAATCTTTGCTGTACATGTGGCCTTATCTAGCTCCATCATGTAATGCAGAGTATTCTGGTGCATGACATTCCTAAAATATTTATGACCTGACTTGTGTAGCTCTTATAAATATAGGCTTGATCTAAACAGCAGATTATATATAGTCAAGAAATCTGTTTTCATCTTCCCTTAATTTCTGGTACACAGTTGTTTGTTTTACATAGATAGAATTTGGGGTGTAGCGATACAACAATCTCACAATATGATATTCTGACCATGATACTGGTCTTAAAGGCATTGTTTGTTTACGGCAAACAATGCCTTTTACGATTTTCTGAAGGATTTTAGAAGGACGCAGTGATTTTAGTGACATTTTGTGTTCCATAGACTTGGATTTAATTAACTGAAAACTGATTAAAAGTACCAACTACACAATACCTGACTGATTGGAGAGAGTCTAACAGTCGACAGCTGGACAAAATGAATCAAAGATGCAGTGAGAAAATTAGTTTTTCATCTGTATTACTGTTATTAGTAATTAGTGGTTTGCTTTCACCCAAATTTTATGTGGCTTTCATCTTTAATTTTTCTTCATTTCCTTTTTTATGTTCAGAAATACGTATTATCTCAGGTCTGAATGGTGCTACCAGAATAAACTTGCCTCATCTTGCTTGTTTTTTTTTTCTCCAAATTTCAGTATTTATTTTGTTTACTTGTACTGTTGACAGATATAAACAAGCGTCTTATGACTTTTTTTCTCTCTCTAGAGTTTCTAGAGAGCTTCTACATAAAATATGGCAGCTTTATTCCTCTCGCTGAATCTGATGTCCTAGAACACCTGAAAAAGACGAGCAACTCTGACCTCAGCAGCAGGTTAGTGAAAACCTCTTTTAGGCATATACTTTAGAGGCAAATTTAATCGTTATTGAAATTAAATTTTGAATTTCTCACTGATTTTTATTCCTCTTGATCACATTTTTCTGTAGTTTAGAAAACTCACGAGTTTATATGTTTAGCAATATGTGCACAGTCTTAAATTCATTTAAAAGTTAGTTTACGTTTGATAAGTTAGTAACAGGTTTTACATTTTATCTTGGCAGCACTATTTAATCTTGCATATTGTATGTATGTTTTTGTTTCTCGCTCAAACTTTCTGTCAGGTAAAAGTTTGAGTCACACTCAGACATCTACATTGCGCTATGTTGACTCAAGACAGATTAACTTGCTGCTAATATGCCCTTTTCAGCTTGCTATGTAGCTAGCTATCTTATCTTTTTTTGTATCTGTCATCGGTAACAGCAAATTCAACACCAGTTGCCTGGGTGTAGTTTGTACATTTCTATTGGGATACAGGTCTTATATTTTGTTCATAACAGTCTTAAAAATAATCTTAAATTTGAGTTGGTGAAACCTGAAGAAACTCTTAATTGTTGAGGCATCAGAGTCTCAAAATAAATGCGATATAATTCATAAGAAAAATCAGCTGGAAATCTTCCATTCAAAATCCAGCATGGCTGCACACATGCAAGGGTGTTTTTTTTTTCCAATTCTTCTTCTGAATTATTGTTATGGACTTTTGTCAGAAAAAAATAATGCCAAGGGAAAAATAACCAAACTTACACTTTTTTTTATGTCCCTGTATGGAAAAAATAATTGCTCCTAAACCGACACACTTCTTGGGCCATCCTCAGCCACATAACTGGAATCTCATTTGCCATGATTGGTTGAATATTTTGTTGGCCTAACACTTCAAAGTCTTCCATTTTCATTTTTATGGCAGGCAGTCAGTTTTTCCCACAGCACCATGTAGGTCTGGATTCTTTCCCCCTTTATAATTGGCACCTTTCTTTAAACACTGTATTGTGTTTACTTGTCTTTGGCATCTTTTGCTAATATGAGCAGAAACACTTCTTCTCACCACACTATAAAAGTTATATATAATACAATAAATTCTGTGTTTTGGATGGAAAAAAACTTCACAAAAAGGTTATGTTTGTTAATGTCCTGCAGTGTAATTGCTGTTCATACAGCTTGTTTATCATTTGTTTTATTTATATTGTGTGGTTTGACCTTTATCATGACTGTAAAACATGTTCAGAGGACTGTGAGTGCAATCATTTTGCCTCTGTATGTAGACAAATCATTTTTATTGTAAAATAATTGTTTTCTGTTTATTTTCCAAGGTTGTACCGTGTTTTTTGTATATCAGAAATGTAATGCTTTCAGTGCCAGTAACAAGAAATACAAAATAAAAAAAACTCTTTCTCTGCGTGTCTGCTTCTCATCTATTTCAGTGAAGTGGACATTAAAGCAGAGATGAGTCGATACAGGGCTGGCCTGGCATCTGCTCCTGTTGCAGGCTTCATGGTCACGTATAATAAACACAATCTGAGGCTGGAGGACCTTGGCACCCTGGAGGATCAGAACTGGCTTAATGATCAGGTAAAGAAAGACTGTGGATACTTGTGTCTTGCATGTCAGTTTTTTGTTTTTTAAGCAAACCAATTGCTTGTTCTGTATTCTTTGCAATATTTTATGTGATTATTTATTAATCTTCTAGATTCAAACATACTTGATCAAGTATTTTAAAGATATCTTTATCCTGTTGTTTTATTTCTCAAATTCAGATTATTAACATGTATGGAGAACTTATTATGGATGTAGCAGAGCAGAAGGTATGTATGTGTAGGCCTGCCAGCACATTTCCAAATAAAATATGTGGAATTACTGTCAAAAATGTACACAATCCTTTTTGGGGATTTAAATGCTGCATTAAAATGTAAGATTTTAAGATGTATATCTGGCTTGTCTAGATGTAAACATTTTTGTTTTTGGGGTGAGTTGTCGGCACATTAGAACATTTCCAGAAATTCAACATTTTTAATCCACTTCTTCTTGGAGTTGTATCATCACTAGAATCATTAGAAGTCCAGCAATTACTTCAGACTTGAACTGAGCTAAAGATTTTCAGATGTTTAATACCCATTTCTTTTTTCCTTTTTGATCTTTTAGGTTCACTTTTTCAACAGCTTTTTCTACAAGCAGCTGGTTGCCAAAGGTTATGATGGTGTGAAGAGATGGACCAAAAAAGTAAGGAAGAAATTGCATTCCCAAAGGTTGAAGCTTGATGTGTGTCTCATAGTAAGAGTGATGCATCCCTAATGTTTTGTTTTTTGTTCTTCAGGTTGACTTGTTCTCCAAATGGTTGTTGTTGATTCCCATCCATTTAGAAATTCACTGGTCTCTCATCGCAATCACAATGGCAACCAAAACCATCAGCTACTATGACAGCCAAGGCATTGTCTTCAGACACACCACAAATGTGAGTATATTCTGGTTGCAGAATACATACACGGTCTTCAATGAGACATTGAAATTATCTTTTAAAAATGCATGTAGTGTGCAGCCTATTGATAAAAAAACAACTTTATAAAAAAAATCCTCACACGATTATGTTTTGCCCATACTTTATGAAAACAGTTAGAAAAAAACCTCTAAAATTGTCCTTTTCAAATGACGTTTTTGAAATTTCTTAACAATTTTTGTCCAAAGTCCCAAGTTTCCCCTGCTGTGCCGTTTAAATGTATTTTCTATCCTGGTAGTTAGATTTGAGCCTATTCCTGCAGAGGAAACAAGGGTAGCAGAAACCCTTCTCATTTTTCTTGCGGGATAAAAAGGTTCCTGCAGTGGATAATTGGGTAAAACACTTCATATTCCTTGGTGTCTCTTTAAAGACATGAATTCACTCACTTACCTTAACTTGTAATGTTGAGAGTCTGTCTCTGAATTGTGGAAGAATCTCATTGTCCTACTATAACTGTTTGTTTTCGCTGTCCTCAGAACATTATGAAGTATCTTCAGTCTGAAGCCAGAGAGAAAAAGCAGGCAGCTTTCCAGAAGGGCTGGAAGATCGCCATCATCAAGGTAACTTTGACCTCTGATTAAATTTATCTGTTCAAGCTGCTGAAATATTTACATTGCACATGGTAATTGCTATCAGATTTCTTTATTCATTCAAAAAAACTTTGTGTCTGCTTAGCACAGCAAAGATAGAACAGCAGCATGCATGTAAATAGTTATTAATAGAGACATACAAAGGCTAGTTCAGGAAAAATTAAGTCTTTGCCTCGCTGACTTGTCCTAACAGGGTATCCCACAGCAAAAAAATGACAGCGACTGTGGCGTTTTTGTCCTTGAGGTAAGATGTTATTCTTGTTTCTGCTTTGCCACCTTTACTTTGTTCAGTAGACAAATCATCTGAGTTCCCTTTTTTTTATTTATGAGTCCTTTTCCCCTGCAATATTTGTCTTTACTTTCTGCCAGTATTGCCGCCGTCTCTCTGTGAAGCAGCCGCTGCTGTTCAGCCAGAACAACATGCCTCAAATCCGAAAGAGAATCTACAAGGAGCTCTGCGACCGTCGTCTCAACGACTGAACGGCTGCCTTCACCTGCTGTGTGCTTGGCTGGTCACATGAGGCCGCCTGTCTTGTTCTTTCACGTGACATTTTGACTGACTGACGGGCTACATACGCTAACACAGCGTGGCCATCTGTATTTTCAGGGAGTCCTTACTGCCATCTGCTTCTGTAATTGACAAGCAGAGCAGTTTTTGCTGACTTCTGGTGACTTTGGGAAGTGAAAAGTCGGTCTGTATTCAAGCTGATTATTTTCTTCCTTTTTTCTTTTTTTTTTTTTCTTTTTTTTTTTTTTCCTTTTTTGCAAACTTGCAAAGAGCTACTGAAGTGGCCCCCTACTGACCCTTGGAAAAAGCCTGAAGTGTCAATATGAGGTGCTGTTTCAGGACTTTACACAGTAAGTTCATTCTGCTTCTTACACTTATCATTCTGAGAGGATTTTATGGCCTAAAAGATCAGAACAAAGTACTGACTTTGACTGAAGTAACTGTTACACCGACCTGTACCATGTGGATGGACATTTCATCCTAAAACGGAGTGGCCTTGCCTCCCAGAAATTCATTTTAAACAGAATTTAAAAGTTCATTTTTTGCTGGACTTTACAGCTCTGGTATGTGTTCAGTTAATATGCATATTTTATAACATATTTTAAAATCTAGCATTAGCGATAACAGTGGAACAGCTGTTCGCCTAAAACTTGAAGGGTTTAGAGTCGATGTTGTTATTGTGGACTTTAAATTGCACAGATACAGGCCTGTTAATTGAAGTCTGGAATATAAACTGAATGTTCCAATCATGTTCTCTCTTTTTTTTTTTTTCCATCTTACAGGATGATAATGGCTTCAAAACTGGGATCACATTTTTGTTTGGTTTTACTGCAATATATTTCCAAATAAAATTCCAGTTTTTTGAGCACATTAGTTAGATTTTTTTTTTCCTTTTGCTGTTGCAACGTATTTATATAATGTTTTAAATATTTTCCAGCATTTAAGTTAAGCACATTTTACAAGTTCAAGATTCTTTTAGGCAGGTTTGCAAATCAGATATGAAAGCATTTACTCCACCAATAAAGTTCACCTCTGCGACATTGATTAATTTCTACTAACAAAGCTGAATTTTGCAGTTATGTTTACCAGCAGTTCTGGTCAGAAATATCCATCCATTTCTCATGGGCATGAGTGGATGGAAATGAATAAGATTTGGTTTTTAATTATATTTTTGAACCATTCTTTGTCTTTTGTGGAATGTTCAAAACAATTCCCAATTATCCTAATTTAAAATTTTGGTGTGCAAATTTGAATTTTTTCACATATTTGTATGAATGAATTTGGGGCAAAATTATACATGCATACCCTAACATAAACACTTAAATGTGGTTAAATGTTTGCACCCATCACCTGACTTCTGGAATAAATCTGTCTGGATAGTTGTACATTTCTTATTCTGTTATTTTTATGAGGGAGTCCCAGGTTTAAAGCATAGTCCATACATTTCCTGCATTTTTGGCATCACCTGTTGAGCATTACCTGTTAGTAATTTTACCACCATTGGTTTAATTTTTGGCTTAAATCCTCAACTTGACTGTTTCAGTAACTTTATCTGTCAAAATAAAGTGTTACTTGTCACAGTTTGCAAACTCTTACTTGGTCAACAGGTTCTCAGTCTGATGAAATAAAACTCAGTGCAGACTGGTCTGAGATGGTTCTGATCCAGGAGCTTCCTCTTAATGTTTGGCTTGGTAGTTGGGTTGGTCATAAACATCCTAATCTATTCCCTCTCATCTGTGTGACTCGTATAGTTCAAACCTGGTGTTCCTACAGGTCAATGACTTCCAGTTTCCATGAAGACACACCAAAACTAGTTTGGTATGATTTAAGCTGGCTAACACTAAGCCTCTGAAAAGCTCTGACCTCAGCTATACTAACAATTTGTGGATTGTGGCTGGCTTCCAGGCCTGTGCAAACAAACAAATCCCTTTAAATAAACTCTTCCAATCCATTCAGATTTATCTCAGAAGCTTATTTGCTACGAAAATCCTGTGGTTAAGGTGCAAAGTTCTATGGACATTTCAGCCAAATAGTTTTTGTGTATACTTTCTAATTTTCATGTGTAAGTTAGAGAATATCCGTGTTAAATGTAATCTTATCCAGTCAACTTTTAAAAAGTTGTTGAAGTTGCTTTTTGAATGATTGTTAAAGCATGAATGAAAAATGGTTTAAATGTATCTTTCAAAGACCAAAATCAGTTTGAAATTCATGCCGAGAATGGGCGCATTTTAAGCTTCTCTCCAGAACTGTGTGTGTATTTACAAGTTGTATCTTGAATGACCTCCTGCAATGTTTGCTTGCTTTGGCTAAAACCTCCAATGTTGTATTTTTCCCAGTTGTTTTTATAGTTGTCATTAAAGTCCAACTATGCTGGACCATTTGTTGCATCTTCTCTCGTCTTTCTGAACAGGTGTTGGTCAAGTGGAAATCCTCAAAATAAAAGGCATGAGCAGTGACATAAAATAGGAAAGTGGAAGAATAATGTTTTTTTTTTTGTTTTTTTTTTTTCCAGAATTCATGAGATTTGTGGGCTTATTTTTAATTTTCCAATGTCGCCACACAAGGAATTAGTTTTTCACTTTTCTTTTTTTTAGTTGTTGACTTAAAATGCATCCACTGTTGTTCCTCAGATGTAAAAAACATGCAAAGCCATAACAATCTCCATCTGCATCTTGTAGGAAAAAGAATGTTTGTAATCATTTGAATATAAAAGAAGTAAAAATATATACAGATTATTGTTTTTGCATTTAGGGATCACAAACATATTTTGTGATCCCTAAACAGGAAAGGTTCAGTCGGAGTAATCGTGTCCTACTACCTTTAGCTGAAATAACATCAGGGAGATTCTTCTCATCAACATCTACCTGTCTCTGACATCAGATAGGATGAGTAATCCCTTTTCTCAGTTTCAGCTTTGTTGTTTGAGGATTTTCTTGCATCCACAGGGTTGAAATAAGATCAACAGCTGGGTATCAACTCAGCCCAGAGCTTTGAATTTAGTCATTTTCAGACATTATTAACTTGCTGCTGTTTGCTGAAGGTTTTCCCCATTCACCCTTACAGAGCTGAGCCAGGACATTTCATACAAGACTGAGGCCAAAACACTGAGGTTTTTTTTTTATGTGTGTCACTTTTAAATCAATCAATCAATCAATCAAATTTTATTTGTATAGCACATTTCAGCAAGGCATTTCAAAGTGCTTTACATCATAAACACAAGAACACAAAGTCATGCAACATATAATAGACAATACATTGTTACATATTACATTTCAAAAACAATTCTAAACAGGTGTGTTTAATTGCGATTTAAAAGAGGTTAGGGTTTCCGCTGTTTTACAGTTGTCTGGAAGTTTGTTCCAAAGTTTTGGTTCTGGTTCTGGGGATGCAAAGCAGACCAGAAGCAGAAGACCTGAGAGTCTGGAAGGTTGATGCAACAACAGCAGATCTTTGATGTATTGTGGTGCTAAACCGTTCAGTGATTTATAAACTAACAACAGTATTTTAAAATCTATTCTTTGAGCTACAGGGAGCCAGTGGAGGGACTTTAAAAACTGGTGCTATGTCTCTATCTTCCTGGTTTTAGTGAGAACAGGAGCAGCAGCTTCTGGATCAGCTGCAGCTGTTTGATTGATTTGTTGGACAGGCCTGTGAAGACGCTGTTGCAATAATCAATGCGACTAAAGACAAACGCATGAATGAGTTTCTCTAGATCTGGCTGAGACATTAGTCCTCTAATCCTGGAGATGTTCTTCAGGTGATAGAAGGCTGACTTTGTAATTGCCTTTATGTGGCTCGCAAGGTTCAAGTCTGAGTCCATCACTACTCCCAGGTTTCGAGCCTGATCACTAGTTTTTAGTTGTTTTGTTAGTTAAAACACATTTTACTGTATGATTCGGGTCAAGCTTCAACACCCCTTGAAGCTCGAAGAGATCAGCAACATCTATCTTCAGGTTTGTCTCTCCACGATGTTCTTTTCTCATCATAGCATTTATTTTGAGGCATTTTTAAAATCAGAGCAGTACAAACGCAATGCATAGTAAATACATGTGCAGACAGAAATCTTACACTGCTGACAGTAATTATTTTAGAATGAAAAAGTACAACTGTAATACCTAAAAACTAACAGAAGAGGGAGAACTATACCAATATTTATTTTCCAGGTTTGCTCTGACTGTTGTTACAAAAACATGGCTGTGGTTAAGGAGCTGGATGAAGTGATTAACTGTAGGGCATTTCACTGACATCTCCTGCTAATGTATTAGTGCTTGGTTTGTGCCCAGAAGGCTTTCATTTTTTCATTGTCAAAAGAAATATTATTTCAGAGCTGCATCCTTCCATGTCATTGTCAAAATCACCCAGACTCCTTAACAGTGTTTTGCTGTTAAGAAATATGTCCTGCAATATATGACTCTCGTTTAATGTTTCTCCATTAAAATTTTCTTAGGATTATTTTGAAACAGGAAAGTGCTGTTTTTTTAAAGTTCCAGTAACTTTACTGCTTTGATGCAAACTGGAAATCTGTGTAAAATCCTGGAACAGTGTTTTATTAATGAAAAGTAGAATTATGTCTGCTAGTGAGTTAAAGGTTTCAGTGGAATTTTACTATGTTGAACCTCTAGGTTTAACCATTTATTTTCATCTGAAGAGTTGACTTTACCTCTAAAAGCAAACAAACAAAACAGGACTGAAATTTTATATTGGAAAATTTTTATGTCGGCTTCTTCAGTTAATAGTTTTAATTCTATTTAGTTACAGAGGCAATTCACAACATTTCAAGGCTCTTTAACAAATAAACAGATTCATTTTGTATGCAGAAATATATAGGCAAATACAAACAAACCATTTCAATCCCATTCCTTCCAGTCTGACCCCAGTTACAGCATTGTGCATTCAGGTTCATTTTGCAACTTGAAATAAAAATATAGTTACCATTAGGATGTTGCCACTGTTTTTCTAATAATAATGCTTAACATTTTTTTGCATTTTTATTAGTGGCCTCAGTATAAAACTTTTTTTTTTTAAAGATTTTTAAAAAATGCAAAGAATGGACTGGGCTTTCAGCGATTGGTGTGAAGTACATTATGTTCTTTTATGTTTAAAAGTTACAGCTCAGAGGATGTATTGCCTTTACCAAGGTGAAAAAGATGACTTCATTTATCTCAATGAGTTCTATTTACCGATGGCTTTTGAATCCAACAGATTTTTTTCTATAGTGGTTGCTTTAGTCAGAGAATTTATCAAAATAAAAGGCGAACTCTGAATCTCCCCGAATGGTGAATATTTCTCTGACCAGTAATTCAGTGTATGGTGAAGAATAACAGCCAAATATTGTGGAATGTAAGCCCTTTTTGTAAATTGTGGATTCTCCTGAGCAAAAATAAATGTCCATCCCAGGTTTTATTTCACTCCGTTTTCCATTTACTGACCGATTTTAAAGAAGACCATGGAGTAGAAAAGTAGTTTGGTGACTAAAATGACCGAGTTAAAGGTAATCTATCTGGCAGGTTTGAAGATACTTTGGTCTGACAAAGATAAAAACCAAACAGCATCCAGACAGGCAGATAGTCAGGACATGCACCATTACATGAGGTTGTCTCCATTTTCTGCTCACAATAAATCACATTCTGCTCTGCTCGGGAGGTTAAGTGCTCCTGAAGGCTGCTTTAGCTCTAATGTAGGGAAACTGTAGCTAATAGGATAAGCCTATAAAAGGCATGAAAACACCCCTTTTAGTCGGAGTCAGGTAGAGCTGCCTGGGATGAACCTTTCTTCATCTCATTGTTGAGCCCTTCTCATATTTATCCACTTGCCTTTGCCAGCTTTATAGATCCATACATGTCTCTTTGATGCCTGTATGTCTGGAAGCTGAACTTACAGTATATATATCTATATGCAATATAAATAGATAAATAGATTTTTTTAAAAGGTATTCTGTAAGAAGTAGTTAAATACTTAGAAATATTTAATAACATCTGATTTAATACTTTAAAATGACGCCTTCAGAAAGACATTTTAGCTGTACTATGTGTAAAATCTGGTAATTTAAAGACTTAAATGACAAAACAATTATGCAAATACTGTAAGTTTTCAATTGAAGACTTGTGAAGCTAATACTTACAGAAGCTAGTGCAAATGAATGTTAGAACAGGATAAAGTACCTGCAGTGATGATAATGTTTCAGTAATGAAAGAAACAAAAGCATCTTCGACAACTGCAGCAAACTTCATCAAGTCTCCACAACAATTTATTTTTAGGCTTTTGTTCATTTATTCATCAGGAGTGCTTATAACTGTGCAGCACATCAAACATTCAATACATTTATTTTGGCCAGTGCAATTCACATTCCACTCTGGACCATGCAATTAGTCTAGTTATAATGGAATTTCAAAATTTCTGATTGCGTTCAGTCTTGAGTTACATGCACTCTGATTAGGTTTATAAATAACTTTAAAAATTCTATAAATGCTACAGATTATGATTCAGGAATAGAATAGACCGCTCTAGCATTTATGAACTATTCACACATCAAAAAGAAGGCAAAATATTTTGCAATAAGGTTTGTCAAATTGAAGAAGGTGCTTTGCCCAAAATGAAAGAGAAAACATTAAAGCAGGAAAAGACCTTGGGTTTTTAAAGGTATTGCATTAAGATGTCTGCATGCCTCAGGTTTCATGCAGTTTGTTCCAGAGCTGAGAAGCATTTCAACTAAACCTCTGAGCGCTGGTCCTGGGAACGCTGAGTAAACATGTTTCTGATGGCCTCAGGGGTCTGTAGTACGGCATGGTTCATATTTGACGAGTTACTCAGAAATATGTGTTTTTGGCCCAAGAACATTTACTTCTCTATAAATCAATTGCGGCATTTTAAAAATCTATTCTTTTGCAGGCAGAATTTGAATAACAATAATTCCAATGTGTCTGTTTGTGATTTCTTGCTGCACACAGCCTTTGCCATCAAAGGATAAGTGAATATAAGAGGTAATAACTTCCAGATTAGTGTTGAGCTCTGATAGCTGACATCTGACAGCTGCCTCAAATTAAAACCCTCCGGTGAGATCGTGTTATTACCTCTGTGATGTAAGCCCGTCAGTCTTTTCATTGCATTGGAGACTAAACAGCTATAATTATGGATAATCTTTTTACTGTTTTGAAAGATTTTCTTGTCCTATCTTTTAATTTCTACAACAGTCATATTCATTTCCCTAAAGACAAAGTGAAGTATTGAAAAGAAATAAGATCTACAACAGATGAAGGCAATCACAGCTGCTCTGAAAGACATCATGAGCAGATTTCTGAAATGTTTTTATCTCAAGTCCTGCTGTTGTCGATCACCTTGGAGGTAATCAAGTCATCTGTTTTGAAAAAAAAGAAGC